CAATAATTATAATTTGCAATTTTAAATAGTTTGTATTGAACTTTTAATAAAGTTTTTTTTTTTCTTTTAACTAATTACCATCTTAAATGTAAAATCTTATTTTAATTGAAAATACCTATATTCATAACTTTTTCATATCAAATTAAATCAACATATATAACTATCAAATAATAAAACTATACAAATGAATAAATTAAAGCACATATCTTCTTTTTATATATGAAAATAATTTAAATATTTTAAATTTGTAGTCTGTGCATCGCACGGGTATCATACTAGTAATAATAATAATAATAATAATAATAATAATAATAATAATAATAATAATAATAATAATAATAATAATAATAATTTTAAAAAGAGTTATTGGTGGAAACCTTTAAACATATATGGTTACTGTTTTATAACCAATATATTTAAACTTTTAAAATTTAATTAAAAGAAAAAAATTTTGTGTTCTATGACAATAATTATAACCAATTTTATATAATAATAATGTTAAAACTCTTAAAATTTGACAAATTAATATAAAACATTTTTAGTTTGTGACAAGTATAATCATCCTTCCTTGAGTTTGTGCACAAATTATTTGAAAATATTACAACGTAGCATCATTTTTTATATATATAAAAAAAAAAACATAAAAATATCAAAATGGCTAATTTACCCAACCAAAGTTCAAAATTAAACTTTCCAAAAAAGCATTTTACACATATAATAGCATGTTCAACGTACTGCACACGCCGATATCCTATAACGTATACACCCCCGCCACTAAAAGCGTATAAAAAAAAGAAATAAGCCATACGCACAGACCATAACAACAAACTGCACACAACAAAAATAGGTGACATGTTAACCATATCCGGACGACTGCATAGGAGGAAGTGGCAACAGTGCCGTAATTTGCAACCACCGACATCCTATAAAACACACACCACCACCCTAGCATCGTGGCAAGCCCACACCTCCTCTTACCCCCCGTCTGGACTAAATCCTTTAAAAAATAAAATTAAAAAAAAATGTATAAACCACTAATAGGCAACAAAATTTGATATACACAGAAATTTAACTAATACTGCTCAAGCTACAACAACATAACAACGGTAATAAAGAAAACATGTACGCACAAACCCAACACCAACACCATATGCTCCAATTCGAAAATGGTAACAAGAGGAAAAAAAAAAAAAAAACTTATGTAAACACTTCACTCAAAAAATGCTAACAATATAAAACCAAACAAAAATAACTTTCTTAACAACACAGAATTGATCACCAAACAAACCAACGGTAAAGATATACGTAACAAAGTTTGACAAAGAATGTAAACAATATTGGAAGATTGCACACGCCGACATGATATAACGTACACACCCCGGACTAACTAGAAGCCGGTTAAAAAAATAAAAAAAAATAAAAAAAACCACAACCCTCCCCCACACCGACACCATCCGAAGCACCACAACCCACCACCACCCCATCGACACCACACGCAGATCCCCCGTGGTTAAAAAAAAAAGAAAAAAAAAAAAAAAAAAAAAAAAAAAAAACCAGAACCAGCCCCCCAGAAACCCTAGCCCCACGACCGCCAGTGACCACCACGGCGCCCCCAAACCCCCCCCCCCCCACCCAAAACCACCAAACCACCCGCTGCAATGCAAAACAAAACAAGCCCCCAGAAAACACAATTTCGCCCCAAAAAAAAAAAAAAAAAAAAACGCCGGCACTGGAAAAAACCCTAATACCCGGAAAAAAACACACCACCCACACCCACCGGTACTACCTGCACAGCAACCCCCGCCGACTATCCCCCGTCCCGGACGACATGCAACACCATTACACATCCCACACACACGAAACACATCAAAAGCAACACCACGGCACAGACGCAATACCTGGAACGCCGCCGGAAAACGCTTGGACCGCCGGCTGGAAGACCCCGCCAAGACGAACGCTATACCAGACGAGAAAATCGAACCGCCGTGTACAATGTTGCAAAAATCGCGCCTAAGCGGCGCCCGGCCGTGTCGAGGAAGGCCAGAATCGGCCTCCTCCGCGGCCGGCCGGCTAGGCGGGCTAGACGACCGCCTAACCGGCAGAATAGTCTCAACCTTTTTTTTTTTTTTTTTTTTGGGCCAAGAATCGCGATTCAGATTCTGGGTATTTTTTATGTTTTACAAGAGCAGCGTTCAAAGGAGAGGGGAAGAAGATCCAGCAGTCTTGCAATTTTTTGTTTCCTCTCGTCAACACTCCCCCCCCCCCCCCACCCCCCTCCCCCCGGCCCCACGCCAATCTGCAGACTATAGTCCGCCGAAGGTGAGGGGAAGAAGATCCAGCAGTGTCCGCAGAAGATCTAGCAGTGTTGTAAGTGCCTCCAGCCCTCCACGCCCACGGCCATCAACCCCACTCCCCTCCGCCGATCACCCCCGCCAATCACCAGCTTAGGGTGTACTTGCACTCTGGCAGTCCGCAGTAGAAAGATGGAGAGTTGATTATGAGAGATTGAGATTTGAGAAATTGGTAGATGGCAGATGGGTTTTACTTTCATTATTGAGATGAGATTATGGGAACTGGGAAGGTCTTTTCAGCTTTTCATTGAGAATTGTGAAATGTAATTAACACAGACCTACCATCATGACGCGTGCATACTACATAGCTTACCAGAGTTATCACTAAAACAATAAAACAAACAACATAAAAAATATATATTAATCGGGCGCCCCCTAGCGTCTTTTGCAACATTGGCCGTGTAACGCTAGGAAAAGGATAAGCAAATCGCAGCAGATGACCGGTTAGGGAGTTGCAAACTTAACGAAGAAGAACAGACATTTGGAATGGGAAGAGACGGCAAAGTTAGGCTCCAAATCATTACATCCGATTTCGACCATAATTAACACTGTACAAACCCATAAAATCTGCTAATAAATTAATACAACCTAATAAAGACATCACCAAAAAGACATCAAAACCCTTACACATACACATAAAACCAGCGCACGTGCTCCTAATGAAGAATACATCTCATCCGTCCAAAAAAATAAATAAACGTACAAGATCGAGCCTCACAACCTCACCTGCCAAAGGTAACCTCACCAGATCCAATATATATATATATATATATATATATATATATATATATATATATATATATATATATATATATATATATATATATATTCCTCAATTGTTTTTGTTTTCAATTATATGTAATACCACACTCTTAACGGACCAGTATTCATATCCACAGTAGACGACCTTCTGATTTTTTTTTTTAAATTGTTTTTTTTTTCTTTTAATTTTAAAAATAATAATTAAAATAATTTTTTATATATAATTTGAAATTATGATATCATATTAAGGAAACCTTTGAAAGTAACCTGTAAAAAATGTTATTTGCATAATTTTTGAGTTTTTAATGGTTCAATAGCACTTTTTTTTTTTTTTTTTTTTTTTTTAATGATGATTTAATTGCATAATGTGTAAAAACTCAGTTGCCTATTTGACACTTTTCCTTTCATTTTCTTTGTGAAATAAACTAACATGAAAATCAAAACTAGAACATTATGGTTCATTATTTGACAAGAATCACAAAATTTGATTAGTTACTCGTTTCAAAAAAGAAAAAAAATTAATTAGTTACTTTATTCTAAATCACACATATTTTTTCAAAAAACCATCAATATATTAATCCAAAACCCAATATGTACAAAGTCAAGAGGAGTAGGCCTAGAAGCCCACCCAAAACCAAGTGTGTAAGTAAGAAACAACAAATTATATCGTGCACTGCGGTGCATAATCAATTATGCACCGAATTTTAAAACGACGTCGTTTTGTTTAATGAAAGAAACGGCACCCTTTTCGTGCCGTTCCGCAAAAAGTAACTCTGTTATTCAGTTTCATTTTGTATACACTGCAATGTCAGTTCAACATAACTACAGTTTCATTCGATATTTATACACTCAAATATGTGAAAATGTTATTTAATTTTATTTTATATACACTATAGTTTCATTAAAACACAACTAAATGATCATTTCAATATAACTACAGCTTCATTGCACAATATACACTCAAATATGTGAAATGTTATTCTGTTTCATTTTATACACAGTGCAATTTCATTTTAACACAACTACAGTATCATTTGATATAACTACAGTTTCGCTGGGTAATATACACTCAAATATGTGAAATTGTTATTCAGATTCATTTTGTATACACTGCAGTTTCGTTTCAACACAATTACAGTTTCATTTCATTTCAATTGCAGTTTCACTTGATAATATAAAAATAATACGTAAGGCAGTGTCAGTTTAGATACACTGTAATTTCAGTTGGTAATTAATACACAAAAAATACACACTCCGTTAACTGTAACGGCGCGCCGTTTCTTTATACTTAAAGGAACGGCGCCGTTTTTTACCGTGGTGCACGTGCACCGCGGTCCACGATATAACGACTCGTAAGAAAGGCACAATTTTGCCAACACTTAAACAAAATAAGCATAAATTGAGGCTTAAAGTAAATTAAACCTAGTCTAACAAAAAAGGGGTATTGCCCAAGCCGCAACCACAAAATAGCCAACAACATAAACACAATGCCACACGGCCCGGCAGGCGAGGTAAACCAAGAACGCCCAAATTTTATCAAAAGCATAACGACAGCTCTAAGAGTTTGCCAAAATGACAAAAACGAGACAAATGCCAAGCAAGCTGTAATGAGGCACACAGGCCCGCAAACGAGAACCAAAGGAAAATAGAATGGCACACAAGCCTAAAGTAAAAACAATGGCAGACAAGTCTAAAGTAAATACAATGGCACACACAAGCTTAAAGTAAACATAATGTCACACACCCTCACTATACAATCATGTCCAAAGTTTATACATTGAGAGTATAATTCAAGGACATAAAGCCAGGGCAACCCAGCAGCCTTGCTATGAGGTAAGTCTAAAACGAGCAGTTCCAAAAAAGTAAAAGGACTCAAGATTTCTACAGTCATGGCCAAATGAGATGCATTTTCACTCAAACAAGTAAAAGAACTGGATATTTCAGTACCATGCTCAAAAAACTTTGGTCCTCAACCATAGCAAAGCCTCAAAGAGCCTATATAGACATACTAACATACAAGTATATAGTAATACCACTTATTTCAACAAGGAGCAACAGAAAACTTAACAAAAGCAATAAAACTACTAATATGTTTCTACTCTTGCCTTAGAGATAGCGTATCCATTTGATCAAGCAGTTGACCTGCGTTCAAACCCGGCTCCTGGGTCATCATTGCAAGGGAAAACATCAAGACCAGTGACCATTGCAGACGGTGGTCCTCTCCGGCACCTCTGTTCCATTTCCTCAACCTTCTCAGGGCTCCCCGAAAACAATGCCTCCACTGTTCCATCCCTTCGGTTCCTAACCCATCCCTTTAACCCCAACTCTTTTGCATTCTCCACTGTCCAGTCCCTATAGAAAACTCCCTGCACCCTCCCCTTAATCACAGCTCTAACCTGTACTCAAACACATAAATACCCACAATCAAACATAGCATAAAACGGTGGCAACCTCAACCAAGTTGGTCAGACGGTTGACTAAGTAACCACAAGATTACAAGTTCGACTATCATTGAAAGTAGCCAGCTATGGGGCAACCTAAACTGGTTTGCCTCCTTGTGGTCCTTTGTCGGCTAGAGTCGTCCCCCGGGGTAGGATTTATCCCGTGCACACTTTCATGTAAAAAGAAAATACTAACTTGAATATTACGTAAAGATTTACTTAGCGAAAAGCAGGCAAATAGATCATCAAAATATATAATGCTTTCTGAATCACAGTGCACAGATAGAAGCTAAAATCAATAAACAATCAATACCAATCTAAGTCAAAGTTCAATTAAAGCAACTAAAGGCTGAGCATTTTTACTTGTAATGCTTTGAAGAAGAATTATGCATGATAGTTAAATGCACACACTACAAATAGATGCAAATTACAGTGATTAAGAACAAGTGTTGTTCATGTTCTGAAGGTATGCTAACTTATTTCTTACAATTTCGGATTTCCCATCTTCCTACCGTTACAGAACAGCTATATATGAATTTGAGCAGTTAAGCCAATGATTACTGGATTAACAGTCGAGAAATATGAGAATCGCATAACCAGAAATGAGAAAAACGTCCGAAGAACCTTAGAAGGGGAAGGGGAATGCTTTGAGCTCCGAATGGAGTTGTTCGGGTACGGACGCAGTGCAGCAGAGACCCGGAAATAGCCTATTGAACTCAGGCCGCGGGTTTCCATAATTATCTCAAATCACAAACATATATATATATATATATATATATATATATATATATATATATATATATATATATATATATATATATATATATATATAGCATAAAATTCCTAAAAATCGCATAAGAGCAAAAAGAAAAACAATCCATCCATCTCCAAAGCTGTTACCTTTACTACTGGTGCTCAATTTGATCAAGTTTAAGCTAAAGCATGAAATTGGATATAATAATATAACTGTGTCAAATGGGGGCTGGCAAAAATTCTAACATTTTATCCGAATTTACAGTCCCTATTTTTTGTTTCGAAGAAAGTAAATTCAATATACTTGGAAAAAATAAAAATCAAAGCTTGAAGAGGAAGAAGAACTTACAGTTTTAGTATTGGGAGAGGAGGAAGAGTGTGGTAAGGAGGACATAGGAGATGAGAGAGGAGGTGCACGAAATCTGTGCAGAAGAGGAAGATGAAGGCGAGGGCGAAGCGGAAGAGTATGAAGAAAAAGAAGACAAAAGCGGGGAGGTTGCAGAAAAGGATGAAGATGCCGTCTTCCACTAATAGGTATCGCATTTCTGGCCGCGAGGGTAAAGCAGCGGTGCCATGAATGGTTCCGAAGAATCTGGGATTTCAAGAAAATTGAGGAAGGCCTCACTGTTGCTGACAATGTCGCCTCTGCCATTTCAGTCGCTTTCCGTTACCATTTGGCGATGTGTGTTCGGATTCAAGAACCAACAACAGTAGATGATGATTCGAACATTTGGGCTACCCTGTAAGAAATTGGTAAATTACTATGTGGACTATAAATATCAGGTACATTTTTAATATATTAAAAATATATTATTTTTGTATTGAAGTTACATTATATAAAATAATATATTCTTAGTATATTAAAAATGTAATTTCAAAAAATGTATGTATATAAATAATATACTCTTAGTATATTAAAAATGTAATTTTTATTTATGATTCACATAATTGTGTGGACTATGATTCATGCAATAATGATGGTACGAAAATAGGTCTTCCCCGTACAATGGTTTTTCTAAAAATGGCCAAATTCTCCAAAATCACAATCGTTATATTATGAATCAGGGTTCATATTACATTGTGAATCTTGATTAAAAAATTATGTATATATAATTATATATTCTGTATTTGCAGTTAATAATTTCTGTACTTGTAAACAAATTGAAAACACATAACATGGTAATTGTATATACATAAATTGTTTACTTCACATACAAAATATATTAATTGTGGACACATAAGATGTTGGTTAACATGTTATGTATCTGCAATTAAAATATTTTGTACCTTCAGTTAACAATTTATGTGTCTATAGTTATCATGTTATGTGTCTGTAACTACTATGTGATGTGCCTTCAATTTGTTTATAGGTTGTTAAGAACATTTTGTAATTAGATTTTGATGATACCAAGCTTAGGAACTTAGACCCCTCAATTCGTTTTAAGCTTATTTAGAATTCAAGTCATAAACCCGACTTATCAAACCTACAACTCGTGGTACTTAAAAGATTTAGCAATGCGTCCTTTGTAACAAATCGAAAGTAGATGATTCAATCAACCAAGGCAGAAGACTTGAAGAATTTGAAGACGAAGATCAAGATGTTGCAAGACACCGAATCATGGAAGGGTCCACCTCTTGAAATTAATTAAGGCCGAGTGATTAAGTCAAGGTCATTCGTTGATTATTTTGGACGATTGGTAGACAACCAATCAAGAGTGCACACGAGTTGATGTTTATTATTAACAAATCGTGAAGACAAGATAGTCCAAATTCTCGTGTGTGGGAAATTTGTTTTGGAAAAATTGAGTCCTAGGAACAAATCTCTAAGTCAAACTATCATTAAATGTCTTGCCCTTTTGTGCAGTGACAAATGACAAAATTGTCAGTACACTTTGTGGACCAACGACTAAATAGTACTGACACCCACATGCACTCTTTGTCCAGCAATCTCTACCCACTGGTCAATAGGGTTTTGAAATGTTGTCTTCTTCTCCAACGGGACAAATTTCACCCCTATAAATAGCTCACTCTCCTACAAAGATGAGTACCGGTTCTGAAAAACTTGTAAGTGTTTTATAAGCTTGAAAAACCATCTAGCTACAAGTGATCAGTGTGAGAGAGAGACTTTCTTACAAAGATATACATCCATTTTCAAGAAGCCTGTGTCACATCAAGTTCATCAAAAGGCCAAGCTTCATAGTTGGAGGAAAAGATTTCACATCTTTTATCATTTTTCCTCTACTTGGATAAGTAGATAGAGGCGAAGTATACTTGGAGTAGTTGAAAAACCTGTATCACAAGATTGTGTCTAACTCTGTGTCAAGGAACAATCTTGGAGTGGTTTTGTACCAAGGAGTTAGTGCAAACCTTCACGAGTTGTGAAGAAGAGTGGAGTTGGCTTTGTTAATAGCTGAACCACTATAAAAATCTCTCTCTCTTTTTATTTTATGTACTGCATTCACTTATATTTCATATTATACACTACAAAACTAAGTTTTATTCAATCAACAAATCGTGCAAAGAATTGTTAAAAGGGTTAACATTTTCCGCTATGCATACCAAACTCTGAACGAATTGTTAAGTTTTGGAACTTAATGATTCATGAAAGATTTGTAAAATCTAACGAATCTATTCACCCCCTCTCACCTTCTAGATCCGTTCCCAAACCCTTCGGGTCCAACATGTGGTATCAGAGCTCGAACCTTGACCGGTAAACACTCTGAGTTACTGCCTGGTATATTGCATTTCTAAAACTATCAAAACCCATTTTTCATCTTTGCACACTATTTTCAAAATGGAACATCACAATCATTCCAGATCTTTGATGTTTAATCATTCAAAATTTGATGATTGGAAGATGCGAATGTAGGCTCATCATCCGCCATCCATGATGAAATGTGAGATGTCATTACTGACAGACCTATTATCATCATGATGGTGAATGCTGATAGGGCTGCTGAAGGTCCAGACGCTGATGTGATGATTTGCAAGTCCAAGCACTCCTACACCACTGAAAAATGTGCTCGAAGCAACCTGGACAATATTACTCGAGACATTCTTTATAAGTCCCCGGACGAGTCGTTGTTTCCCAGAATAAGGAAATGTCGAACCGCTAAGGATATATAGGAGACTCTCATGGTCATAGGAGAAGGTGATGAGCAGGAAAAGGAAAACAAGCTAACCATGGATATGAAGAAGTTTGAGGACTTCAAAATGAGCGCCAACGAGTCCATCAGCCAGATGGAGACTAGGTTTATGAAGCTTCTTAGCGAGATTATTGATCTCGGGATGGAGCCGAGCTAGAAGGAGATCAACTTGAAGATTCTCCGTGGTCTGCCTAAGGCATGGGATATGAAGGTTACGGCCATGTGAGATCATCGTGAGTCGTGACCTCAAGTCGGTTCAAACTTCTAAGATATTTAGTTATTTGAAGGCTTATGAATTTGAGCATGAGCCGAAGCTAGCTGAAGAACCCGAACCGAGAAAGGTAGCTCTATTTGCTGACTAGTAGCCATCCACATCAACAAGGTCAACTTCTAACCCTTCTGATATTTTAACTGATGTGCAGTTTGCTTTATTTGTTAGGAAGTTCAAAAGGTTCATGAGGAAGAATAACTTCCAAGACTCGCCGGTTACACCCAGTTCAAATAGTAGGCCCAATACCTCTAAAAGGAAGGAACCATGGGAGTTGTAGATGTTGAGCTAACTGCATAAAACCTGGACATTTCAAAGTTGAGTATCCATATCTAGTGGTTCGCAAATATCAGGATCAAGACAGAAGCACAAGCACTCCTAACAACTCGAGAGTCACCCCTACAGAAATAAGCGGAAGAAGTGCAGATCAACCCCCAACCACTTTAAGGGCAATAGACAAATAAAGGCTTTGGCTATTGACGAAGCGATCGAGAAAGCTGAACCCTTACCATGCACGTCCAGCTATAGTTCTGACAACGATAGCTCTGGAGATGAGGTCTCATTTGCTTATATAGCCAGGAAGAGTCAGACAACGAGTTGTGTCTAATGGCGAAAGATGACGAGGTAAACTCTCAAACCTCTTCCTTCGCTTTCCAATGTGACTATGATTCAAGTTTTAGTGGTAATCCTATGGATTCAGTTGTTAAACTGATGAAGAATTTTAAGAAAGTGAAAAACACACATTCTAAGATCAAGGAGGAGAATGCTCGACTCTTGGCTGAGCGTGAAAATCTTAAGAGAATTTTGCTCAAGAATAACGAGATGATTAGTACCATCAGCTAGTTCGAGAAGCAAGTTCTCATACTTAAAGAAGAATGTAAATCAAGAGAAGTTAGAGAGCAAAACTTGCGAAAGATCATAATGACATTTACCAATTCATCTAAAATAATAGAACAAATGGTATATGATCAAAGACATAGTGTGGATAGAGCTGAACTTGGCTACAACCCTAGCTCTCAATCACATATCTTATTCTACAAGTGGAGGCTTAAACTCTGTATTTGTTAGAGGTCAAACCCAGCTACCCGAGCTGATGAACGTGGTTGATAAGGGTAAAGCACCACAAACAACGAGCCATCCTAAAGGGAAGGCTGTACAACGATTTGTGGAACCCTCGAGAGGAAGTTTTTCAAAAGGTAACCCGAGGCGTGTTCTGAACACAAATCAGGATAAACCCAGTGCTGATAAATCGAGTTTTTATCACACAAGTGGTCAACCTAGAAGAAACAACTAATCGTTAGGAAAACCCAGTCACAACCATAGGCAAAACCATGCCCAAGGACGATGCACTAGTCGGTCCAGTGGTAATCAAAATTATTACCCTTATGGTCAATATGATAACGGGTATGCCAAGCCTCGGAGATCATCCAGAAGATCAATGAGAGGCGTCAAAAGACTTTTTCCTTCCGATAAGGACTGACTTATGATTCCTGAACCGATGTCAAAATCGCAATTCAAACGAGTTCATCATCATAAGCAGACGTTCTATTCTAGGGTGTATCGCAACCTACCTGAAACCCAATTTCAAAGACGATATACACTTAAAAAGCCCCGAACATTTCAAAACATCCCGTATGATTATCAGGTATTTAATGGCTATAGATGTGACAACCCAAAATATTAATCCCAAATTTCTATTTTATAAAGTTTCGAAATAAAATTATTTTATTTCTACGATGATTTATTTCCTAAAACTTTGAACCAACAGTCTATTTGAGACGAACCCGTGTTTATTCTTATTAGTTTTTCCTAAGCCTAAATGATTTAATTTGAGCCCAAGTGTATTCATTTTAGCCCAAAGTGTTCTATATCATTTAGATTAGCTAAGCCCAAAGTGTAGAGGTGTTTTATTATTATTCTTTAGTCCAAAGAAATGACCTAAATCCAATCTGTAACACCCCGAAATTTTAAAACTTTTGAGACTAATATAATAAAAGTAAATTCTCATTTAAATCCCAAAACATAACATAAGAGTACGGGGTGTTATGCCACACCTGAGCTAGAGAACTCAGGCGCACAGGCTATTAACTAATATCCTCGATAATGTCAATACATAAGCATGACACGCATGCCGAAAGGGAAACTATCTACTCTACGCTCCGAATTTCTAGCGCGCTCCAGTGTCTACTCATCTGTGCCTGGAAGCCAAATATATCTGTTCAGCGAGAGATGCTGGTAACCCACTCCAACGCGTTGAAATACATTATAGATAGATATATATAGATATACGAAAACCATTTTGAAGCAGGAAGATGTATAC